TTTGCATGTATCATTTACACACCCACACCCACTGTTGGTCAATATGATCGACCAGGTCCTCGATTTGTTGATCATTTAACCGGTTCTGTTCGAAAATTTGTCCACGACTTTGAATAGATTGATTAAGAAAGTTGATTGGTGCTTCATAACTAGTAATCTAAATAATAAATAGATGAATATCTCAAAGTGCAATACGTGCACTATGCAAACGAGATAGTGAATAGCATTTAATCAATCATGCAGCAATTTCCTTGTCGAAATGAAAGTGTACATTGGACAATCAAAAGCGAGACCTATTGCAAACCTATAGCTACCAAGCCAATAGCCATTTTTTCGAAATAACAATGTAATAAATTTATAAATAGACCCACATTCTGTGTCTTTTATGTGTGTTTATTCTCCTCGGTCATCCACTACATTTCTTTCTATGCTCAATAATCAAATAGGCGGAATAGAGACCGAGAATAAAAGGAATAAACATCTCTACGGACGAACATTATTCAAAGTGCACTCCATCTGTGGAGCGAATAGAAAGAAAACACTGGTTCCATACGGACGAAGGTAATGAGAGAAAAATATGCGCAAGCGCATGGACATTTGTTTTTAAGGATGTGGGTCTGTGTAAATGATACATGCAAATCCACACGCACACCCTCATCCTTATTGTATCGAATAAATATAACTGAGCATTCATTCTATTAAATATGACAATGAGATTAGCAATAATATACTAAGATTCAAATAAAACCTCGAGTAACCTTGAGCATTTTCTTCCAACAAACATCTTTCGATATCGTCCATATTTAGTGAAAAATCATTAGTAAATATAGATGACATTTGAAACGGTTTACATCATTATACGCTTCGCTTCAGGTACGCTATCATCTGCGCTATATTAATGTGTTCACTTCGTTACTGACTCCCATTATTCTATTGCGTAACATTTTCCTCTTTATTTCTGTTCACTCATGCGTGATCGCTCTCTTGTGTATAAGCAGATGTAGCCGAAGGAAAGATACGACTAGAGATATTCAGATGACATAATACACCATCATGCCAGCCGGCAGAGGCGCACACTCTCTCAATCCTGCACAGTGCCATTGATATAATTGATGCCACTTTTGGCATACAACTGAAATTAGATAACGAGAATATCGATAATTGCCTTTTATGCTACTTTAGTTTTGAATTTGTCGCCAAAGAAACTTGAAAGCATGTAACACTAAAATAATAATATTTATGTTCTCATGATACTCTTTCCATTATAATTTCCTTTTTAGCTATCTGCCGCGATTTTAAAACGCGCACTCGCACTCAAAAATTGTATTCCCTCACACTTCTTCACTTCAGGAGAAATGAGTGTTAACAGAATAAAATGTGTAGACAAAAGAAGAAGTATTTTTCTTTTCTTGTTTAAATGGATGCTATTTGATGGAGAGGAAAAATATATTATTTCATTTGAATAGAAGGCAACTCATCGGCAGTCATAATTATTCGCTAACTAATATTGCAAAAAATACATTTCTTCTGATTCTTAAACATAAAACATGCTGATTATCATTATTGCATTTCTACAATCATTTATTTCAATTACTAACCAGCAACAATACCAGGTTGAATTTAAATTAACTTCGTTTGGCTTAAGATTTCAATATCCTAATATTAGTGATCTTTATTCGGTCCAGTCAAATGTTTTTTCAACTATTCGCTGTGCCATGACCTGCTCAGCTGCGCAAGAATGTCAAACATTTGATTATGACACTTCATCTAATGTCTGCCGCCTATTTTCTATTTGGTCCTATCAAGGTACAATTGTTGCATCGACATCATCAACTTCACTAGTCGGTTATGTAAAACAAACAATTGGCCTTTATTCGTTATATGGAAAATCATGTAATTCCTCAAGGGATATCAATCGATATTTGTTATGTACAAGTGGTAACCTTTGGTCCTGTCGAGCCCAACTGGTGTACAATGGATCAGCCTGTCAAAGTGATGTTGCCTATAGTTACACTACAGCAAGCTATCAACAAGAATGTCTACAGAATCAAACAATGGTATGGAATGGAACAAGTTGTTCACCAGGTAAGACAAAAACAATGCGTTTTTATAAATACTTTATTAGTAGATGGTCATCTAGTTCAAACATCATATAGAAAAATTTTGCATAGTAACATGTACAACATAATAAATAGGGTGTGGGTGTGGGGTGTGGGAGTATATAAGCACGACCCACATCCACACCCTTGATTACTGATTTGTACAGTGAAAAACCGATCAACTTCTATCACTAGAAAATGCACATCGATCTACTACCAAGATAAACATGGCGAGTTTTCTCAATATTATGTTGTGTTTAATCATACTAAGGAAACCAACGTGAAGGTTTCAGATGGATAGAGCTAATGTAAATGCGATTGTTAACTTCAACAAAACCGATATACTTAATTTCGAATAATTCAGAGCGGAGTTGACGATACTATATTACAGTTCATAGTCACTGTCGCATTGTATCAGGCATTTCGACTAAGCCTTTTCTGCTGCTCTTTACTTTATAAATTAGGTATCGAATAACAGACGTATGCTTCTTACTTTCGCAATTTATGCATTCTTCAAGGAGATGCTGCTTCTCAAAACAAATGCCTTTCTCTATTGTAACATACTTGCTTTTACTCTGATCATTTCTAGAATGAAATCTACTTTTCTTTTTATCGTCTACTACAGAGCCAAATAAGAAAGCTCTGATTAAAACCATTCAATAACATATCGAATTTGAAAGACACATTTCTCGATTTAAACTATAGCTATCTATTGTTTTTCAACACTTCAATTGATCAGAACTTTCATACTTTATAATTTGGATTAGTATATGAAAGAATAAAAATACAAAGCTAGATCAACCTATAGCATACTGCGATCAACTTCGATGGCGAACTTTCTTCAGATCGTGTTCGTACTACCTGCCATCTCGGCTCTCCTGACACGACAAACTTAATATCGAGTTAGCATGTTCATTTCATTACACTGTAGAAATACTGTATCGAGTGCTATTAGGAGTAAATAAATATTTAGTCTTTATATAATTCTGTTGACAGCTGTCGTAACATCACTAAAATGGAACGCCACTGGTATAACTGTAGCTGGTGTAACTGCCATTTCTGGTACCACTCNTATCAACAAGAATGTCTACAGAATCAAACAATGGTATGGAATGGAACAAGTTGTTCACCAGGTAAGACAAAAACAATGCGCTTTTATAAATACTTTATTAGTAGATGGTCATCTAGTTCAAACATCATATAGAAAAATTTTGGATAGTAACATGTACAACATAATAAATAGGGTGTGGGTGTGGGATGTGGGAGTATATAACCACGACCCACATCCACACCCTTGATTACTGATTTGTACAGTGAAAAACCGATCAACGTCTATCACTAGAAAATGCATATCGATCTACTACCAAGATAAACATGGCGAGTTTTCTCAATATTATGTTGTGTTTAATCATACTAAGGGAACCAGAGCGAAGCTTTCAGATAGATAGAGGTAGTGTAATTGCGATTGTTAACTTCAACAAAACCGATATACTTAATTTCGAATAATTCAGAGCGGAGTTGACGATACTATATCACAGTTCATAGTCACTGTTGCATTGTATCAGGCATTTCGACTAAGCCTTTTCTGCTGCTCTTTACTTTATAAATTAGGTGTCGAATAACAGACGTATGCTTCTTACTGTCACAATTTATGTATTCTTCAAGGAGATGCTGCTTCTTAAAACAAATGCCTTTCTCTATTGTAACATACTTGCTTTTACTCTGATCGAATTTTAGAATGAAGTCTACTTTTCTTTTTATCGTCTACTACAGAGCCAAATAAGAAAGCTCTGATTAAAACCATTCAATAACATATCGAACTTGAAAGACCCTTTTTTCGATTTAAACTATAGCTATCTATTGTTTTTCAACACTTCAATTGGTCAGAACTTTCATACTTTATAATTTGGATTAGTATATGAAAGAATAAAAATATAAAGTTAGATCAATCTATAGCATACCGCGATCAATGTCGATGGCGAACTTTCTTCAGATCGTGTTCGTACTACCTGCCATCTCGGCTCTCCGTACACGACAAACTTAATATCGAGTTAGCATGTTCATTTCATTACACTGTAGAAATACTGTATCGAGTGCTATTAGGAGTAAATAAATATTTAGTCTTTATATAATTCTGTTGACAGCTGTCGTAACATCACTAAAATGGAACGCCACTGGTATAACTGTAGCTGGTGTAACTGCCATTTCTGGTACCACTCCAAATAAACTCAATAAACCTCAGGGTTTAAGTATTGATTCCAACGGTACACTCTACATTGCAGATCAAAATAATTGTCGAGTCCAGAAGTGGCTCAGCGGTGCCTCCAATGGAACAACGGTGGCGGGGCAATCCAACGGTACTTGTGGTAGTGGACCTTCGCTTTTACAGACACCTCAAGGTGTTATCGTCGATTCCAATGGAAATGTTTATGCGGTAGATACTTATAATAACAGAGTGCAATTGTGGTCATATGGTGCTTCCTTTGGTAAAATGGTGGCCGGGACAGGTAGGAAACTATTTATGTTCATAGTTCATTGTAACAAACGAAGTAGGAAAGTTTTATTGTCTGAATTTATTGTCCCAAATAATGATTTCATACTTTGAAATAATGAACAACTTATATAACACATGATGGTCTTCTATGCGATATACATAGTGTTTCTATTTCTGTCCACAGGCATAAGTAATTCCGGAAACAATCAATTATCTTTCCCGCGAAATATAGCAAGGGATCCAACTACTGGCACACTCTACATATCGGATACTTGGAACAACCGCATCATGCGTTACCTTGTCAATGCATCGTCGGGTACTGTAGTTGCTGGAGGCAATGGATCAGGCACAAATCGTACACAGTTATATTATCCGATAGGCATATATTTGGATGTAGCATCAAATAGTCTATACATTGCCAATTCTTATTGCAATAATATTGTTCGTTGGGTAATAGGTGCTACCAGTTGGACATTAGTTGCAGGTGATATCAACGGGAGGAGTGGTAATTCGTCAACAATGCTGTTTTATCCGTATGGTGTTGAAGTCGATTTCATGGGCAATATTTACGTGGCTGATAGCAGTAATCATCGAATCCAACTTTTTCAAGCTGGTTCAATGAATGGTACAACAATAGCAGGCGTTACTGGAGTTGTCGGTTCTGATCCTCATCACCTTAATTACCCATATGCTGTAAAACTTGATTCTCAGCTTAATTTGTACGTAACGGATTGGTACAATCATAGAATTCAAAAGTTTTTACACCAGTGAAAGACAATAATATAATTATCTACTCATGCACTCGAAAAAATTTGAATTTGTCTCCTTCAAACTGCAATATATGATTTATTTATGAAATAAAAAATACGCTTTTCTCTCGAATTCTATCATTGAACTTTACCACCGTTCTCATGAGTTCTAAAATCTCCAGAGCATACAATGCTCGGTGTGGGTGTGGGCAGACGGCCACTCACACTTCATGTTCACCCTGAGACCCACATTGACACCCTCATATTTTTCTTAATCTCAATGTACGAATATTTAAATATTTATCTTGAAATGCTAATGAAACACGTTTATAGTGAATTGTATTGTGATCACTGATGAACAGAAATAAATGTTTATTTATAAGCATAAAGTATAATGAATACAAGATCCATGCATAATGCAAACATTTACAATATTACAGCAGATAAGACGTGTTTATTTAATTTAGATATCGAAAAACAAACAAAATTTAACGAGAAATTAAAGAAAGTTTTTCGAATTGTTTTGATTCAATTTTAAATATTAATGTTTGAATACTTTAAGGTAGGGGTGGGCCATTAACATTAATTTTATATTAATATTAATGTTTCTCATTAACCATTAATATTAATGCTTAATGTTTTCTGAGAAAAACTTAATTCATTAATCATTAATATTAATGTCAATGTTCTTGAATGATATTAACGGTTAACGGAAACATTCACCATTAGTATGAATAGTAATGTTTTCGTTAATATTATGGATTATATTTTCATTAATCATTAATATTAATGTTAATGTTTTCNGATCAAGGTAACTCTAGAGTTCAGAAGTGGCTTAGCGGTGCCTCCAATGGAACAACGGTAGCGGGACAACCCAACGGCGTTTCTGGTAGTGTACCTTCGCTTTTACAGGCACCTGCAAGTGTTGTCGTCGATTCCAATAGAAATGTTTATGTGGCAGATACTTCGAACCACAGAGTTCAATTGTGGTCATATGGTGCTTCTTTTGGTACAATGGTAGCCGGGACAGGTAGGAAACTATTTTTGTTCATAGTTCAGTGTAGCAAAAGAAGTAAGAAAGTTTTATTGTCCCAAGTAATGATTTCATGTTTTGAAATAATGAACAACTTATATAACACATGAAGGTCTTCTATGCAATATACATAGTGTTTCTATTTCCGTCCACAGGTTTTAGGGGTTCCGCAAACAATCAACTAAATTATCCTCGGGATATAACAAGGGATCCAAATACGGGCACATTGTACATATCGGATTGTTCGAATCACCGCATTATGAGTTACCTTGTCAATGCATCGTCGGGCACTGTAGTTGCTGGAGGCAATGGATCAGGCACAAATCGTACACAGTTATGTTATCCGCAGGCCATATATTTGGATGTAGCATCAAATAGTCTATACATTGCCAATTTTTATTGCAATAATATTGTTCGTTGGGTAATAGGTGCTACCAGTTGGACATTAGTTGCAGGTGATATCAACGGGAAGAGTGGTAATTCGTCAACAATGCTGCATTATCCGTATGGTGTTGAAGTCGATTGCATGGGCAATATTTACGTGGCTGATACCTATAATCATCGAATCCAGTTTTTTCGAGCTGGCTCAATGAATGGTACAACAATAGCAGGCGTTACTGAAATTTATGGTTCTGACCCTTATCACTTGTATTATCCATTTTCTCTAAAACTTGATTCTCAGCTTAATTTGTACGTAGCGGATTGTTCCAATCATAGAGTTCAAAAATTTCTACACTACTGAAAGACAATAATATCATTATCTATTCATGCACTCGAAAAAATTGAATTTGTCTCATTCGAACTTTAATATATGATTTATTTATGCAATAAAAAATACGTTTTCCTCTCGAATTCTATCACTGAACTTTACTATCGTTCTCATTAGTTCTAAAAATCACCAGAGCACACAATATTCGGTATGGTTGTGGACAGAAGACCAGTCACACTTCACATTCATCAAGGGACCCACATCGGCACCTTCATATTTTTCTCAGTCGCAATGTACGAATATTTAAATATTTATCTTGAAATGCTAATGAAACACGTTTATAGTGAATTGTATTGTGATCACTGATGAACAGAAATAAATATTTATTTATAAGCATAAAGTATAACGAATACAAGATCCATGCATAATGCCAACATTTACAATATTACAGCAGATAAAGCGTGGTTATTTAGTTTAGATATCGAAAAACAAACAAAATTTAACGAGAAATTAAAGAAAGTTTTTCGACTTCATGACAGAAATGAATTACAAAATAATTCAAAATTTACACAGACAACTAATACATGTATCAGTTATTACTAGAAGGTACTACCAGGTACTAGAAGGTACTAGAAGATTGGTAGCAGCCGAATTCGACTTGAAACATGAATGGGCAATCATAAAAAGAAAGGCTATGTTATTTAAATTGGAATAAAAGAACTCATATATTTTTACTTTGTATGTTTACATATTTCTATTATATAAATTGTGCAATAGATCTAGATTCAATTTCAACGCTAGCATCACAAGAAATACCCGATATTTTCTTTCGAGAAAATGCAAAAGATGAAGCCTATGGGGAGGAATAAGAAAGCCATCGTTTTCTTTTTATAGAAAATTTAAAATAGAATCAGATACTTTCCTACTTAAAATATAATTGTTTTTCAGCACTACCTCATTTTAATCATATTCGGCACATTTATCGACGTAATTAAACTAAGGGCTGGAGTGAAAAAATAGAGTATGTTTAAAATGGATAGGCGTCCAATACATTGCGTTATCATGAAGCAACAATGATGATACGAAAATTCTTCTTCAAATGAGTTATTTTTTATGTGGCCTTTAAAAATATAGCATAAGGAATACAAAAGTTGAGGAAGAAGAAATTATTGCATCACTATTCTTTTACTAATTTGAGAACGACATACTTAATTGTTTACCCTTACTGTGAAATTGCTGTATGTATTGCAATAATTTCATCGTTTGTTCATTATGATTGACCTCAAAATATTTTTCTCCGCTACGATCAGATAAAGCAGATTAAAATACCTGGAGGAATTAGAAATTAAAGACAGAAAAATGTCCCTAATTCAATGCGATTAATTTATTCATATTATCGAAGCTTAAAAAACAATTTCACACACTTTTATTATATCGACTTCGTTCAGTAGAACAGTATGTTGAAATACCGCAATCTTTAGAACTTTGTAATTTTGAACATTATTTAGAATTTATCTGGTGTCTGTAAACCGGATCGTCACAATGAGATTTTCAGAGTATGTACACTTTGAATTAGATGTAGTATTCATTAGTTTTGATTAATTCAACTATGAAATGGAATTTTTAATTAGAAAAAGCCAATAGGATTCGAAGGATCATATTTACTCTTTGAAACAAAACGTTGCAGCCTCACTGCAGAATACTATTCAACTTCTTCCTTGTCTTTTCCTTCAAAAACGTAATTTAATTCATATTTTCCAGGTCTTTTTCTGTTGTTATTGTATCTTATAATTTGAAAGCGCTGTAAAATTGGGTGTGAGTGCGAGTGTGAGTGTGGGTGCGTATGAATGCTGGAAGATCAACACTCATACTCAGTTACTCTTTCCTCATCAAAAATATGTTTTTTCTCTATTGCGTTAAAATGTGTGCTTTTCACGTGTAAAAGCGCCATTTCTTCTTTTCTTGACGGACTGGATATCTGATGTTAACAAACCTCATTCATTTTTTTCTTCAGTTCTAAAATAAATTCTCACATGGCCAACTTAGTTGGCAAAAGTTCTGGCATTAAGTGTAAAAAACCAAAAAACACTGTGAAATGTAGTGGATGTTCGCAAGATTTCTCTCTCAATCACATTAATGACACAAGTCGATGAAGGCGAACGGGAATCAATTGAAACGATTCGACAAGTGGCAACTGATACGCGGCGGGAACTCTCGTCATGCGTCATCACATTTTGTCACTAATATCGATCTTAAATTGAAAGAATTGACAGAGCAACTTGTTCAATGTTGTAAAGAGGAAGCTTTCATCGACACAGACATTCACGTTTTTTTTAATCAAGCGCGTATCAAATTGAAACAAGCTCTCCAAAGTCCACTAGATTTCAAAATCGAATACGATTCAACATCGTTCATCAATAAAATGCGTCTTAAAACGCAAGGTAAATCTTATTTTCTAGAGAAAAGAATTGAAAGTCTTCCTTAATCTCGTTTGGTCCGATGCGAGAACATGAATTTTTCAACCACTACAATTTTATTCCATCAAAAACCGTTTAAAACGTAGACTTTCCTTCTGAAAATTTAGGGTGATAGGTAGTCCGCTAATTAGCGAAAGTCGTGTGGAAACTGGTTCGTATATCTTCTGGACTTTCGCCTACTTCGCAAACACCTAGTTGCCTTTTACCCAGGATTGAATGATTCAACGTCCCCTGTTATTATAGTGGATTGCTCAAGTCGACTATCGCCAGCATAGCGTCTGGAATTTCCCTCATTGGAGAAATTCCAGATACCCAGTGTAAACATAAGATAAAAAATATATGATACCCTCACGCATTCACTCACCCACACACAAATTACTTTACTTTTGTCTTTGTTTTTGCTGTTCAAGCTTCACTGATACTTAGTACAACGTCAATAAATACAATAGTAAAAGCAAATAATAATGAAGATGATGAGTCACATGAATCAAATGTCATTTATAAACGTATTGTTCAATTATCAGCTGTTGAAGTTAAAACAGATGAGGAAGATGAAAATGTTCTCTTTTGTGAACGTGCAAAACTTTATTTTTTCGACTCCCAAACAAATCAAATGAAAGAACGTGGCATTGGTGAAATGAGAATTTTACAACATCAAACAACAAATCGACTCCGTATTTTAATGCGGTGTGAGTAAGCCTTGAAATAATGTGCTAATCATCAGATAGCATCACAAATGAGTTTGAAACCACATCAAGTTTCAGAAAATACTTAAATTTGGTCAGCAATGGATTTTACCGAAGGTGAAGCTAAACATCAAACATTATGTGTAAAATTTGAATCAAATGATATAGCAAAAAGATTAGTTAAACAATTTAATGAAGCTAAACAAACTAATGCGAATGCGTAATAACAACAACAATAACTAAGGGAAAAGGATGTGGGTGTAAAATTTTGATGTAGTCACGCGCATGCCCACACCCTTTGTGTTGAAGTGGACAATCATGGAGTAATAGGGTATGTTTCAACAGATAGTACAAACTGTCCAATTTCTTTTGAAATTTTCAGTAGAGTTCGTGACGGAAACGCAGCCTCAGTTGAAAATATTTTAAACACTTGAAATAGGATCACGACGGATACGATCGTTTAGGAAACTATCACTTGAATAGAAAACTTAGACTTCAATCGAATCAAATCTGCGATAACATGGAAAATGAAGTGATAAACATTCATGAAAATTTGAATTGATTAGAAATTGAAATTATTTTTATCATTCGCAATCTGATGGCTTTTGTCTTCAAGAATTTACTGCATGAATGCTATGCTTTATATCACGTTAAATGACGCAAAACGTTCGTCGTAATTATCAACGAGCTGAGTGTTCTGCATTGAATAAAATCGATATTATTTGTCGTCAACTAGGTACGTCATACTGGTAGACCAAAAAACAAATTAATTTCACCAATGCGGTTATGAATAGAAAACTATAAAATCACAAAGCCATACCTTAGTAAGTGATATTCCTTATAACATAATTATTAAAACGTCATTTGATTCCAATAGTACAATTATATTAGTATCAATATAAAAAAGTTTTGATATAAGTTCCGTCGAGCACATAAGATATATGATTGATGATAATTCAGATGGATCCCAATATGACCTCTGCAATAATGAATTGAATGTTTCGCAACTTAATAGCTATCAATGAGATCATAATTATGTGAAAAACTAATATTTTTGATGGTAGAGCGAAATAAACAACTTACGGAAGTATATGACAAATCTAGAGGCTACTGAGTTTTATTCGTTCATGAGTTGTTTTATAAATGTTTTAAGTATTAATTATATTTGTCTCACAATGGAAGTGCTTGTACTGTCCGTGAGAAAAACGGGATATTTTCGGATCAAATGAAAGCTCTCATAGCAAATTAACTAACAAGGTTAAAATATTAGCTGCTATTGGCTTGCCTAGACTGAGATATTTGATTTTTCAGTGAATTTTCTCTACAGGAGCGGCTTCCCAGCAATATCATATTTTCGAACTTGAACCTGAAACTATGTATGCATGAAAGTTTCCAATGAGACTAGCTTACAGAAAAGAAATCAGAAGTTATGGAAAAACTCTCTTCAAAATATAGATGTCTCAAGCATACAGATTCTATAGAAAATCGTCTATATTTTGAGAGATTCATATCTCGAAGAGGGTTTGTCCAAAACTTCTGATTTTTTTTTCTGTAAGCTAGTCTCATTGGAACCTTCATGCATAAAAAGTTTCAGGTTCAAGTTCGAGAATATGATATTGCTGGGAAGCCGCTCCTGTAGAGAAAATTCACTGAAAAATCAAATATCTCAGTCTAGGCAAGCCAATAGCAGCTAATATTTTAACCTTGTTAGTTAATTTGCTATGAGAGCTTTCTTTTGATCCGAAAATATCCTGTTTTTCTCACGGACAGTACAAGCACCTCCATTGTCAGAACGTTTTGCTACTGGAAGATTCTTATGCTGTTATATTAAAACATTCAGACCTTTTTCATCTGTATGGTAAAATATAAAAGCTCAACCAATAATGATACTCCTCATATACGTATATAACGAATATTTCAAAGAAGATAAAATGAGTTGTCCAGAATTTGTCTGTCACGACGACTATATCTTAGCTTAGAATCCGACATGACAATGTGAAAGATAGGCAATCATCCCTATATCTTAATCGTTTCATATCATGTCATCATCAGTTGTTCAGAAGCGATGAAACAAATACGAAAATCATGTCTATATATTAAAGTCTATTGTATAAAAGTAGTATGCTTTGTACCACAATTGGCACATGCCTATCTAAGTAACCATAAACTATAACCCAAGGACTATATCCTTATATCTTTCAATATGGTGAACATCATCCCAGAGAAGTTGAAATTCAATTAATTATAATATATGTGTAACCTTTACAAGCTTGATGAGCAATATTGTGTAATTGAAAAAGAACTGCAAGTACATTTATCTCTATGTTCTTCTCGTACATTTTCCCACTCATATCGTATGATGCATGTTTATTACATAAAATCTCAAGAGAGAAAATGTCATACGATCATTGTCGTTTTTATCAATTTAAAGGATCCACTCGAAATTTTTATTATGATAGAAAATATTCAGATATTGAATAAAAACCATAAACTATACTTCGTTTAAACTCTGTTTATCAGCATTGTTTGCCCAATGAAACATTTCATTACCACAAAGAACATCACAAGTTAGACGATAAAGAAGATATAATTAAAACAGGTATTCCCCACTTTTACATTTTCAAAAAGAACTCAAAAGCGGCAACTACAGATTAGTTTTACGTATAACAATAGTTTCAATCAGCAGGTATGATGAGAACATATTTGTTTCGATTTATGTAAATAGTGTAACAGTAGGTCTTTAGAACACAATAGCAAAAAGTAATTATACACCATCGAAGTTTGTTTTACATGGCATTCTATGGGTCATTAGCAACGCTGTCAACTGAAGCTTATATAATTCAATTGTATATCAATCATTGAAGCATTCGATGGATTATGACTCTAGAAATTGTGTGATAATTGACCCATGTTTAGTCTGCCTAGCATAATAATAAATATTAGAAGTAATATCATCAGTATATAAATACGACTATGCGTATAATAATTAAGGCTGCAATTTTTTTTTGTGTAGGAAAACGGTTTTTAATCCGTATAAATTATTATTTCGAATAAGAATAAATTAATAAAAGTGCAAGAATAATAAAAAAATAGAAGTACAAAGAATGAAGGAAGAAAAACAGACTGAAAGCTGCATCATTCTGCTGGTAAAGCAATCTTCTTTCCTCGTCAAACAAGGCAGAGTTTGCTTTCATTGATGACTTAGAAATAGTTCAGACGAATATTCATTACGAATGACATGTTTTGGTGATTAGTTCTTGCACGTAATTATTATTTGCAATTTTCTACATATCACCAAGTTTCTCATCATTTTCAGCCTCAAGTGTATCGCTATGCGCATGATATAACAGATCGATACTCGCACCATCTTGATTACTATTTACTAAGTCGCGTCTGTATAAGAAAAATTTGTAACATTTTTTTTCTATTTAGTTATTATAGTGTTTTGACTACTCTTATTTCTGATTCATTAGCAGTACTGAATAGAGTTCGTACTACTCAATATTTTTATTCCTTTCGAAAGACTTGTTACAGAAACTATTATGTATTTCAATTTCTATACTTTATCATTGATTTCTTGATCTATAAATATGTTATTCTTTAGATAATTGATCGAAAAAAGATCAAGCATGAATAATTGCAGCGTGATGCAAAACGGTTTTCAATTTGCAACCGGTGAAGGTCGCTGCATTACATTTTTATTTTATGGTTGGAATGTGGATAGCCATGCTAAATATGCAGCTTCAATTATTGGAGTTTTTTGTATGAGCGTCTTAAATGCCGGTTTAGGTTACATTCGTCATCTTATAAACGATCATTACGAAAATAATCCATATACACTATCACATCACATATCTTTAGCAGTGGTTTACGGAGTTCAAATGGTACTTGCCTATTGGTTGATGTTACTGGTGATGACATATGAAAGTGGGATTTTTATGTCGCTTATTTTCGGTCTTATTATTGGTTATTTTGTTTTTGGTTATATTCGAGCAAGAAATCTTCTCGCAAGTAAAACACTAATGCCTACCTCTTATTCAGCATATGATAATCAATTCAATAATACCCCGTGTTGTCAAGCGTTCACTTAATAGAGACCATTCATTTGCAACTCACATAAAACTGATGTTACGTTCTACTGTCATTTTTTAAAGAAGTTTCTTTGATTAATATATGGCATATTTTCATTTTAACTGCCTGATGTTTTAGAGAACAACATTCTGTGAAAAAGTTTAATGCTGAGTCGTTGACGAGAATACGTAGAAGAATGCATTTGTATCCTTTTTCAATTCTCAATTGTTTTCTTATTGAATGATATTTATGTTTCAGTGATTTTATTTAGATTAAAACTGCAAACAAAGTCTACGTTGATTAAAAATCAGATAAATGAAATTCTCCAATAAAGTTAAATTGCACGAGGCAATTTTGATCTCTAAAATGATGTCGTCATACTTTCGTTTCTTTCACTTGTGTCAATACTTGTGCAATAATAGAGGAGAAAACATAGGGGACTATTCTTTCATAGTGATCACAACAACATCGAAATTTTAACAAAATCACATGTGCATTTGGCATTAGAGAATTCGGTTGAGAAGAAAATAAGTAATGTCCTCAATGACGGAAAATCACGGTAAACAAGTTTAATTAGTAGGAGAACCATGTACCATCGGCGGACGAATTTCTATCTTTCAGATGCATTCATCATGGATTCAGGACCATTTCTTGATATAATTTCGACTTTATTAAGTTATTTAGACGTGAAAAGTCTCATCCGCTTAGCGCAAACGTGTTGCTTTTGGAAAGAGCGCATTTATAACGATTTGAAATTATGGCCAAAAGTAATTGAACTACCTTATATCGGTCTAATGGAGGGTGGCTTTTATGGACGCTATGGACCTGAAACAGTAGTTAAAGCAAAATTATGGTCAATGATTTTACCTCCAGATGATCCAAAAGCTTTGGAAAAAGTTTTAGCGAAAATGGCTTCCTCAAACGAAAGTGTGCGTCGCTTTCTATTGGTGGAAAAGGTATATGCCAATGAATAAAAGTAGATAGAAAAAAGATCTCGAAACATTTGATTTGACTTACACTGCGAGGAATATTCGTTGGTCATTCTTTCATTTTTAGGTCCTATTCAAAAATTTCATTCATACTGACGAGTCTTTACGCCTTACTGCTTTATTATTTCCCTCTATTCAAGATATCAGCTTTGAGGGTGATTTGTTTACTGTGACCGGTGTTGAATGCATAGCTACATCGTGTAGAAAACTCAAGCACATTGAATTTTACCGTTGTAAAACTGTTAATATAGCAAGTGCATGTCGTCTATTTAACACTGAAGCTAATTCACAAAATTTAAAACGACTTTTTATTTCTGGGTGTACTTCTCCGATGCAGCTCAATCACTGCTCAAACAGCAGTGATTTACCGTTTATGACATTGTGTCAACGTTGTGGATTATATTTCAATGAGTTGAAAAATGAAGATGAAATGTTGTGTCTCTACCATCCTGGGGTACGTATCCAAAGTTAGTAGTTCGCAAAACAAATGATTTAAATAGATATACTATTTATGCTGCTGTCTGTCTTGACGGATCAGTTGTCAATGAAAGGGAAGTTCGTTTTGATATTTTTCTTTCAGACATATGATGGTTATGGGCATAGTTGTTCATCGTTCAGCTGCTGTGGTAGTAATACACCCAATTATCAGTCAACATTAGGCTGTCAATACACTTATCATCAAAAGTACGACGCTTCATCATCAAATCGGATGCTATCACGTCAATTACACCATGGGTAAGCATATTAGAGCTATTTTTCATCTGAATACTAATCTAAATGGACGATTTTTATAGACATCCTGAATACATGTTTCAAAAATATGACATAGCGTTGTTCCCATTATGTTTTACTGAAAGACGAGAATTGCATCAATGTTATAAACAATGGAACAATCAGCAACAACAGGAAAATAACCAATGACATCAAAGCCGAAACCTATGCTCTATTTGGTTTGAAATGCTAAACAATAGTTGACGATATACACGCGATACCACATTGTCTCATATTATTTACGATTGAAAATATCAAACATATTAAGTATAAATCTACTTGTCAGGGAATTTTCTTGAAGATGAGAGTGTTATCAAAAGTGCGTGTCTGATTGTTGAATCGGTATCTTTGAATCTCGATTCAAATCTCTTCGAAATTTCCGTCTCCTCAAGTTGTGCCATACTCTCTGTAACGATAAAATATGCGACTCTGCTTGATTCATATCGTAATGACAAACTCGATAGAGGTGGAGTAGCTTACAGCCACTCTCGGCAATGATGTTTATTTGCTTCTGCACATATCCAAAGTGCAACAACTTCATACATAACACCCGTATATATACGAGAGAGATAGGAGGGATATATATAAGAACAATGGAAGGAGAATCATCCAAGAGTGCCATCAATATCGGCACACTCTCACCATCATTGGCTGTAAATAACGCCAACGATCAGAATTTAAGTTTGAGATTTATCTTTCACCGAAAAATTTAATCCACAATAAATGAGTATCACAAGTGTGAAAATGCAACAATATAGTTCTACCTGGACTAAACCAATCACTAAATCCTGTAAATATGATATCCCGTATCGAGTTGTAGGGATTTATTTTTCATCTAATTATCATCAATAAGCGAATATCCTTTCGTGGAATTTTGACTCAGTATTCTTCGTAACGATTTTGGCTGCATATATATATATATATAATGATACTCTTGGAAAGTTTCATCAATCACAAACATGGCGTTGTTTTTCCATTCTGTCATTATCTTATCCTTATTTTCGACAATGGTAATTTCGCTGCATACTGCCCAATTAGCAGTGCTCAGCGCAGCGATGAGTGAGGATAGTTGTGAATTCTATGAACTGCTCGAAATGATGGTTCCATGTGGCGCAAGTGGATATGTGAACGATTTTGCGTACAAATACTGCGAAGCTTACTTAGACGAACGAGATAATTTTATTGACAAGAAATGGCAAAATGGTGTCCGTACTTGTCTTCAACGGTCCATGCTATCTAAACTGCAGTCAAATCCTGGAGCGTCATGTGCACAAATTAGAACTTGGGGCTTCAATTCGCATTTAGGATGCTACATGCGACCCATTCCTAGTTCACCGGAAGTGAAATTCTGTCGACTTCCGTCGAAAGATATTATTAAAATTTCACGGATCGCCATTGGTGAAGTAATCGAAAGAGAAGTGAGGGGGCAATTTGCAAAAATGGTGAAGGAATGCGCCGGACAGTATCTACAGGACGTCAATCAAGATTTCGTGAATTTTCTTAAGAAGACAATGGCGAGTATCAACTGGCCATGGTAATCTTAAAAAATTATCCATAGAAAAAACGTAGTCTGACATTCGAGTTTTGCTTGTTTTTCATGATGTACTCATTATTGAAATATCATTACGAATAAAAGCATCACAATAACACTACCTGAAAAATAGAAATAACGATTAAACTTTCTCAGAGGAAAATGGTGTATGCGCGGGTTACGAAACGAATTATACTCAACACACACCCTAGGTCGATTTGTGCAAGAAAAGGCTATAAAATTGTTTATTTAATTGAAAATCAATTCTGATTCAAGAAAAACAAAAAGCAATTTATTTCTATATTGACTCTTATATTTATTTAACGCTTCCATAAGTTTCTTTTTCTCTTTAAAATCGCTAACCGTCCCATAAAAAAATCAGCTCCTGAGATCAAGAGATTTTTTGCCAGAAGAAAAGTTCGGAAATCAGGAGATTTGATTGATAACCCTGGTTTCCTCTGAAGTATCGATAGAACATTGATTCTAATTTCTCAATTGTAGTAGTGATCACAAATCGAAGTGAGTCCTAGCTAATACGTACGATCTACATTTACATCTATTAGGCTGCTGATATAACCGACTTGAACAGTGACGTCTCTCTATGGAGTAACAATGCTAAACGGCTACTACTTCGCTGATACGTGAATAACCGTTTTCATCCTCACTAGAATATTTGTTTTTTGACTTTATTTCTACAGACATAATATCTTATTTTCATTCATTTTCAAATCGAGATTCCAGAATCGATTCTACACGGTATGGAGCCCCATGAAACCCTAGATAACTAAATAGAGACTATTGTCTTCTTCGCTTGGTTCGGTTGAAAAATCTGAAGTCTTCTATACACAGCTACTAAAATTCAACAGAGTATCGTATCCGGTAGTATCTATTTCGAAAACAATAATAACAACACATCAAGTTTGCTGATTTCTAGCGTGTTTCCATAACCTTATTTGATTAATGTCTATTTAAAGTACCTGCCAATATGGATTTCAATCTTTTCACTTATAGCTGAGCGGTTTTTAAATTGCTTTAAACTACTGCTTTGATGAAATATTTTGTCAATGCATCGGCATTGTTCAGTTCGTGAAGCTCTTTACAGCCAGTGTCTGTATGAAACAACAGGGATAAAGGAAATTTAGTGATTTCACACTACTTAAAATATAAATACCTTAATGCTCCTCATGGACAGTGCTTCTACAAGATATTTTGCACCTACATCACCAATGACATTTCCGCAGAGGTCCAGCGTTGTTAGTATCTGTGTGAAACAGGTGGCAAGGCAACTATGGAGTCGTTTCAAAATATTTGAATTATAACTACCTCATTATTTCGTAATGCTTCTGCAAGATATTTTGCACCTGCATCGCCAATGGCATTTCCCCAGAGATCCAGTGTTGTTAGTGTCTGTGCGAAATGACGGAAAAGATGGATAGCTCTTATTTCTAGAATATTAAAAAAAACGACTTTATTTGTCCATAGTGCTTCTGCGATGTATGTTGCGCCTACATCGCCAATTGCATTTCCACCGAGATCCAGTGTTGTTAGTGTCTATGTGAAGTGGCATCGAGTATAGGCGGAAAATGTTGGAAAGACATCGTACGGAAACTCACTTGATTTTGCTTTAGAGCTGCTGCGAGATGCATTGCTCCTTGTGGACCAATTTTGTTCCAGCAGAGGTTTAGTCTTTTCAAATTCTATGTATAGAATAATAAAGCGGCGTATAGTAGGCGATATTAAATATGCGTAGGAGTGCTACCTGATTAGTGCGCATCACATTGGCAAGTTTGGTCGAGTCATATTGACTGAATTGCTTCAATAAATGATTGAGTTTTTGATCTTCCTGAATATTGGAATTGATATTGAGCGATATAATATTATGTTTTATTACCTCGTCTTTGCGTAGTACTTCCGCAAAGTATTGAGCACCTAGGTCTCCAATGCGATTGTAACGAAGGTCAATCTCTTTCAGTGTCTGTTATCAAAATAAAATAAGAAAATTGATGAATACTCAACTGATTTAATGTTATGTTACTTGATTAATGCGTAGGGCTCTCGCAAGACATCGAGCTCCTTTGTGCGTGATATCGTTATCAACGAGCTTCAATTGAGTTAATGTCTAGAGATCAAGATTGTCAAGAATAAATGCTGTAGAAATCTTTAGATAAAACCTAATTACCCTGTTGTTTGTTAAAATTTTAGCGACATGTTGCACTTCTTCTTCGCAAAGTTCTCTCCAATTTAAATTGAGTTTTTCCAAAGTCTACGTGAACAATAAGTGAATTTTTACTATGGAGTTACGGAATCCAGACGAGCAAATATTGATCTTTTCATAGTTCCGCTATAGAAAGTTTCTACTATAATCTTGCATCATTTAATGTTACAGATGAGTGTTTTTACTTCATTTTTTATGTCGTTCTGTTTTGTTTTAACAAGACAATGTGAGTTTGCACAAGTCTGCATGAACTACTCAGCATTTATTTTTGTTTTCAGCATAAGAAATCTGATAAAGAAAAGATTTTACGATACCTAGATACAGATGTGTTCTAACCCGCAGTAGTAACAAACGTCCCTCCGCGCTAAGAAAAATCAGCATTTCAGTCTTATGATTAGATAAAATATTACAAAATAAACATCTGGTCGTTTAAAGAACAGTTAGGACTCTGTTATTCTTGGAAGTATAAAGTATCTTGACAGACAGCTTTCTTTATATCTCCAAGTTTGAATGGTCGGGGCATCGCGTCCTGAACAATCGAAACGTTTATTTATATCCAGTTGGTAAAAACTTAGAGGAATATATCTACATCGTCAGTAAATGAATTAATGCTGTGTGACCCTAAATATTCTATATGAAAGTACGGAAGAAATCAAATGATTAGACGGATAGTGCCATTTCTTGTTTTTCAACACTGATTTGGAGACGAAAACTAAATAGTGTAGTTCATATTTTATGGCAATAGCTTTCTGAAAATAACTTTTTCTGATAGTTTTCAATGGAGATGCTGACCTCTTCCAGCAAAAAAGTCCATTATGGATCCGATTGATTAATTTCCTGCCTGTCTACGTGTTTTTTACAAGATTGAAAAAAGAATTTGTGTTCTATCAAACCTATTCTATTGATGCGAATGAAAGTGAATCAATTGTACCGTCAAAAAGACGAAATAAAAAAAAACAGTTAAGTAGCTAGACATTTCTAAGATAATGATTTCATCTCATATGTACCACAACTGACCTGGTCATGGATAAGTCTGCCGACATTGGGAAAATGACTCCCGCAAAAGCTGCAGCTAATCGTATTTTTTGTGCAAGAATTGTTATTCGACAAATGATGATCTGCATGCGTTTTTGCTTTTGCTTGCACCTGACTATCAGTTGTATTGTGAATGGTCATTAACTACAAAATACAAAAACTAGAAGATGATTTCAATAGTACATGTTCGCCGAATAATCATATGATAGCAAGAACAGTGCAAAAATACATGATGGTATAAAAAGTAATTTAAATGAAGAAAAAAAAAGGCTCACATGGCGAAAATTTTCATATATTATGCTTCTTTTTACAGTGTTTTCACAACAATCACTCTGCAACAATGCCAATATAATATCTCACCGTAAGCAAAGCAAGCTAAATTATTTTCGTGTTAACATACCGTTTTATTTTCCATGTTTTTGTTTTGAACACCATTAGAACTGGATATTGATATTATGTAGTTACTCATAGATAAAATAAACACGATTAAAATATTTTTTTAAAAGATACCTGATTATCGATTGTAGTTTTAACTCCAACAATGATTGTTTCAACATTTTGAATGTTGGACGAACTTCTGGCTGCTGATGCCAACACTGAACAATTATATTCCATAATTTTTCATCGCAATTCTCAGGTCGGCTGAAAATATCTTCGTTGAGTTTAAGTCTACGAACGTCATTATCATCTTCAATTGAAGTATAAGGTGATTGCCCTTGAGAGTAAGCTTCCCACATTAAAATACCCATCGAATACACATCTGATTTTTCAGAATAATTTGAGAAACCTTCAATTTGTAGAATTTCTGGTGCAGCATATCTCGCTGGAACGAGTAAGTTTGCCGTTGATACTGTACTACCAACAACTGAATACAATGTGCTCGAACGTATTAAGCCAAAATCAGACAATTTGACTAAATTTTCTTGTGGATTAGAATTATGAAAACGAAAAACGAATACATTACGACAAGCAAGATCACCATGCACAATTCCATAATTAGCAAGATAAACCATTGCATCAACAATCTGTAAAAATATTTCTAATAGAACTAATTGTGATGGTTGAAATTCGTTTTCTTTTAAAGCTTCTGCAAGATCACCTTTAGTTGCATATTCTTGTATAAGCATAAGACGATTGAAATCATTCTCGGCCAGACCATATGTATGAACAATGTGAGGATGAGAACTCAGTTCAACATAACATGAAGCTTCTAGACTTGCTGTAGCTCCTTCGATTGCGCATAGAACAACATCAGGACCAGGTTTTGATATCCATTCAGCTCTATGAATAGTTTTACCCGGACTTTGACAGATCGGTTTTCCTTCTGCTTTCTGTATATCAATATCAAATTTGAAAAGAAAGCGTTTCTGTAATGATGATGTTTTAAATTCACCAACGAGTTGTTTGACATGATGATTTGGTTGCAATGAATCAATAGTCATTGATTCACGTGTGATTGGGCTTGTACGATATTTTTTAAGCCACGATATAATAGCACCTCGTTCGTATGTATGACCATCTTGGCCAGTAACAGGTTCTCGAAACATTTCACAAGTGACAGGACACATCAAACTGTCCTTTTTTGGGATGACAAACATTTTTCGTTACGAATACCTTTGATTATTTTTATAAATCTAGCGAAAAATAAGCCATAGGGTGATCAACAAAAAAGTAGCTAGTACATAGCAGATATAGATAAACCGAGAGAAGAATAACTATTACCAATATAGCTTCAGCTATGTTTAACTGTTTTTATATATTTTTTTAATTTAACAGCGGAGTTTTTGTTATCTGTTTACCGATAAGACAGAGAAAGTGGATGGTTCTGCCTGTAATAAAACACGTGTTAAAATGTTAGTGATAAAACATCGTTGATTTAAAGTATTTGTCAAAAGATTATGCGAAACACAGGGAATCACACTACTATTATTCTGAAATTACAAGTCATTTCATGTAATGAAGTTGTGGTTTCATCTCCAGAATCATTAAAGAGCGTATCTCTTGTTATTTACAAACATTTCACTGTTATCAATAATCACAATCATCGAGAAAATTATGAATTCAACGCTTTTAATCACTTGGAATCCTAAATAGAAAAGAAACCATAGTAAACTCCATTTCGATTAATTAACTCCTTATTTATTATGATCGAAGAATAGCTGCATTTTCTTTTCAATTCTTCTGTTATACACACATTTTTGCATTGCAAGTGATTGTTCGCACACATTCTTTTCTAATACTTTATACTTAATCATTATCTATAGCTAAAAATAAATAGAATGAAGTCGTATGTACAAAGTTGATTCATAAGCAAGGAAAACTGTATAATTGCTAAATATCTTGTTAATTGTATGACTAGTAAATGTTATTTTATTACAAGAAAGACCGCCGGAACTCGATTCCGATCATGAAACATTAACGGAAATGAGATATGTCACTTCCGTACTCTCTCTCTCTCTCTAAAATGGTGAATGTCCATCCATTTCACATAAAAATTGAAAATAAATAAATATTTCATTGTGTGAGAAAATACAGTACGAGACTATCTTGAGGGTGTGGATGTTATTAATGAATGGCAACAGCACACAGTCTCACTCTCACCATAAATTATTGTTCTTGCATCGATTAATCAAGACGACGGCGAAGCATTCAAGAGAAGCTGCTGCGTGAAGTCTTTCAAAGAATGCCAGAATTCATTTTCTCGTCAGTGTGTTTATTCAAAAAGACTCAACTACGAGCAGTATTCGCGCATAAACCAAACCGATGTTCGAGCACGCTCATTTTTTTATTAATATAGAACAACTCGATTAAAAGCAAACATATTTTTATCTTTGTAGCGCGCCAGCTTATTCATACAGCGCATAATGAATCAGATAAATTAAAAATCTTGAGTTATGAGGGCAAGCCACATCTACACCCGTTTGCATTCATTTGTCCTTCCATAAGCGTAATATTTACCTTCATTATTTATGCACCATTACGGTTTCAATTTCCACATGACAAGTAGATTTTACATAGATAGAATATCAGTGCGATTACGGCAAAAAAAAACAGCTGTGCTTGATAGAGAGTTTATTTAATTGAAAAATAAAACTTTCATTCGAATACGATAGATTTTATTACTTAAACTGGTTCACACAGTATCTACTGTTATTAATGATATCTAGTATTTTTCTTCATTAAAAATATCAAATGTCTCATTAGATTGTTTTTAAAATGATCTATCAAAGATTTATGCGTTGGGTGCAAGCAATCGTCGAATAACTGGATCATTTTTACATCTAATAAATCAAGAAAATACACACAAAAATCAGCATAGGCAATTTCGCGAAAACATACCCAGCAATAAATTCTTGCTTATTCAATTTCTTATCACCACCAACATCAAGTCTTGTGATAATATCAATAGAACGTTTTTTTGGATCATTCTCACCTTTGCGATTTGTTTCACCAACAAGATCGTACTAAAACAGATATTGAAATATTTTCCTTTACTCTCTATAGCTTAAGTTTTACCATAGCTGTAATCATCTTGGCCAATTCCTTTTGATCGATGAATCCATCGTCGGATATATCGTACCTATTTTCGAAAACAACCGTACTGCTGAGGAACGAGCAATTTAACAAAACCTTACATATCGAAGGCAACTGCAAGTCGGTCATCGAGATTACCGTGGCTTGTAGCTGAAATAGCTAAAAGAAATTCATCGAAATCAATTGTTCCATCATCATTAGAATCGAATGTATCAAATGCAAGTCTAAAGATAATCAAAAACAAAATTAATTCGAGCTCGAACAGCAGCAATAAAAGAGATTATCTTACTTGCAGAAGTTATCTGCCTTGCCATGAGGATAAAACTGCTTATAAACTTCGATGAATTTCTTTTTATCAAGTCGACCATTAGGACAATCACGAAGAAAGCCCTACAATTAATCAAAGCATGTACGCGAATATGATTTCTATATAACTAACCGCATGCCATTCTCGAATTTCTACAAAGCGAATAAAAAATTAAAAAGAAAAAGACAATTAACTTTATTTACCTCTTTCCGAATAGTTGGTATTTGCCTTAAGCATAGCAATTTCTAAATAGATCCAAAAAAAGAATTATAAATTGCTTATCAAATAAATCATGCAAATACGAACGTTTGGGTGTTAATTCTGTTGATCCACTTTTTTTAGCTCCTTTATTACCCATGATACTTGTTGTTTATCAGCGATTTAGACGAAGAAGAAAAGAAAGAATCGGTACGTGCTTTGCTTTACGATTGTATGCAATCCAAATCAGGTATACTGCCGATGTGTTGATGGTATTTATACCTCAAAGAGGAGGAGAAAAATCTACTATTTTTTTTTGTATGTCTATATAAAAGAGGCACGAACGACAAGAATTAGTAATGCAGATAGTAAGCAAACAGTATATTTGATGTGAGTTAGATTTTCTTCTTATTTTATAATCGTGAATCATCTCGAACGATAAAGGAACTCGGGTGTCTATCAGTACATTGTAAAAGAAACGAGATATGGCATAACAAGAAGAAAAAAAAACAGAACTTATTTTTCTTTTTTTACTATTTTCAACATGACAGAAAATGATGAATATCGTTTGATTTATTGTTCTCGTTGTTTTGTATTATTAATACCATGAATAAGAATAATGTGGCGCGGGGGGGGGGGGGGGGGGGTGGGGGGGGGGGGGGGGGGGGGGGGGGGGGGGGGGGGGGGGGGGGGGGGGGGGGGGGG